CCGCCATCAGACCGGAAGGGTGCATCTCCTTTCAAGAAGAGCTTCCTACTCAAAAGAGCGGCTACTACGCCAAATCCAGCTAGTAGTCCATCGCAAAACGACCTGACCGATATCCTCGAAGAAGCTGCTGCAGAGGGTAGTATTTCACTGCTCAGGGCAGTCATCAGTATGGGAGCTGATCCTATTTATCGATCAAATGGTAAATTGAAGAAGGTGAAGCACGAGGCCTTAGCGAAAGCTACCATGAACGGACGAGCCAGAGTGGTCGACTATCTCTTGAGAGAGGGTGCCACTTACGGAGAGGCAACGAAAAGAGAAGACTACACTCCAATGGATCGCGCGCTCTTGGCGGCTGCCTATAAGGGACACGCAGACCTCATCGATTGTCTTGTACATCATGGCGCAAACCCAATGGTCGAGCAATGGCCAAGAGAGATGTATGACGCGCAGCACTATTGGAACGAAGTACAGGTTCGCGTTACGAAGACTAGCTTCCTTGATGGCCTATCGAAATGGAAGAATGTCGATCGCGGTATGAGTACCCTGAAACTCGTCATGCAACATCAAAACTTCGACCCCACAGCTTTCGTTGCCGGAGCATTCGACAACAAGAGCGAAACAAAGAACGCTGGTGTCACAAATCGCCCGTGGCAGACGACGTACGAGTACTCTGTTCTGTCTTGCTTCATCCGTGCCGGATGGGCAGATGCGGTGGAAGAGATGTTGAGCATGAAAGGCATGCCGAGGGACTACGAGAAAGAAGACGATGTTTTGTTGCATCAAGAAAAGCTTACAAGACTCGTATCACCAATTAACGCATTGACGAAAGAAACCTGGGAGAAACGACCGGAAGACGCACTTCGTATACTAAGACTACTGATCGACAGAGGCTTCAATCTATGTCTCACGCAACGGACAGCCACAGATCTGGGCCCAAGGACAGCGCTCAGCCGTGCGATCTCCGCAGATGCTGCGCAGGCGGTCGAACTTATCTTGCAGACCAAAGGCAGTTTGGTACGAGAGGAAATCTCCTTCCGACGAAACAAGAAAGATACCAAAGCACTACCGCTCGCCACTGCCCTCTCACTCGACTCGCTGGAGACAGCGCGTGTGCTTCTCAGAGCAGGCGCACATCCCCGCGACCCAGCTTTCGAAGACATGAATGTACTGCAATTCGCCGCGTACCAAAACAGTCCGACCAACACTACAATGCTCGAAGAGATGATCGGTCTCGCCCCGGAACTAACATACGATGCCTTGAGCTACGCCATAAAGGGCTCCAACAAAGACGCAGTGCGCGTCCTTCTCAACGCCATCTCCGCAGCAGCCCTGCGCGAGCAAATCGCGGCATTACCACCCATATACGACATGCTGCTGCACTGCACTCCCCTCACCAAACCAGAAGTACAAACCCAGTATCTTGAGCTCATCGACATGGTGGTCCAATGGGATGTTGGATATGCGTTGCAGCGACCCAGGCTTTCGGCGATTTTGTCGGCGATTCGGAAAGACAACTACATTGGTATGGAGAAGTTACTCCAGAACGGCGTGGTGGATGGCAGGAGTTTGGTCTTGAACAGCAAGGCGCAGCCGTGCGGCGAGTTGGGAACATGGACTATGCTCGAGTGCTGCGAGTTGACGGATAGGAGTTCGGAGTGGTTGGGTTTGCTGAGGAGTTATGGGGCGCCGCTGTATCATTGATACTTACTGATATCCTGCGTGAAATGCTTTATAGCTGCTTCAACCTCGGGCTTCCGTCCCCATTTCCCCTTGTACTTGCCACCTTGCTGCTTGATCCTCTCTTTCTTCGTTTCAGCGACCCATTCGCCTCGGAATCTCTGTCTGGGCTTTGCTTCACCCTCTTGTGCCATCTTCCTCTTCGTGCTTCCTTCTCGCCCGTTGACATGACCTTGGTTGACTGGATTGGACGCGACCCATTCCTCGAGCTGCGGTCTGAGCTTGGGGCCCCAGACAGATTCACCAGCATCCAAATCATCATACGTGATGGCAGCGGTATCCTCCGGAAACGGAGAAGGCTGGAGCACGAAATTGGCTTGCACTTCGCGCTTCAGCGCGGCCATGTGCGAAACGGTACCGCAAGCGACACCCAGATCGTGCGCAAAGCTGCGAACGTAGAAGCCAGAACACACCGTCAATCCGATCCGTACCGCAGGTGCTGAAGCCGGTGTCTCCTCGCCGGGGAAGGCGAAGTCATGCTGTCCTGCATCGTACCATTCTAGTAAATCACACCTCTTCACTTGCATCTCCCTACTTTCCAACGCGCGAGGCAACTCCTTGCCCTGTCGCACATACTCGCATGCTTTGACGCCATTGATCTTCAGCGCTGAGTACACGGGTGGAACTTGCTGGATTGTTCCTAGAAAGTTGGGCAGTTGTTCCTCGACAAGCTGACGAGTCACGTGCGAGGCGTCTGCTCTTGTCTCCATAGTTCCAGTACAGTCGTAGCTGTCGGTACTCATGCCAAATAAAATGGTGGTGTCGTAGCTTTTGTCACATGCTAGGTACTGTGAGAGCGATCTTGTGCCACGTCCGATGCCTACGATGAGCACGCCGGAGGCCAGGGGATCGAGCGTGCCGCCATGACCTAGGCGGAATACTTGGTCGGAGGATTTGCTGGTGCGTTTCGGTTGGTGCTTGCGAAGTGGCGCAAAGGTAGCGGATGAAGCGAATGTTGACTGGAGTTTGAGAAGTACGCCTGCTGAAGAGACATTCGCAGGCTTCACCACAGCTATATAGAGTCAGCAGCCAGGTGTGGGTGGGAGACGGTGAGATCACCTACCGAAAACTCCTTCTAGCACTTGCTCGTGTTGCTCCGCGACAGCCTTCTCGTTATCGTCTTCCATCGTATCGCAAGTCACGTTATGTCGCGTCGTGAACTTCCGGTCCTGTTGCGCTAGAGGGAAGAATTGTCTAGATCGCGGGGCTAGCGCGTTCTGAAGTTCGCCCCACCTCACGCCCTACGCCTTGCATGCCTCGCAATATCTAGCAGTCGGCCAGAGACAGCCCGAGGTCCTTTGCAGTGTACTGCATTCGCTTGCTAACCTAGATCTATACGCGATCACTTGGTAGGATTGCATCGGTAGCGGCGCCGACTTCGGGCTGACGCCTTCGTCCTACATCCATTTCCAGCCATCGTCATCATCGCCAAAACAACACTCGCGACTTCTAGAGCCATGGATCATCAACAAGTGGACAACTGGAATTTTCAATCATGGAACGAAGATACGATCGACCCTTCATGGTTCGACAACTTCCTCGCTACAGATGTCGGCCAGGGTGCGACTAACGCTGCACCTGATGCTCCTGCCGCATTCAGCATCGACGACGACTTGGCAATCGACCCGAACTTCCAAGACTTTACGTTGGGAGACACATTGCAACCATTGAGTGGTATGACTTCACCAAGTTATCCATTCGACGCGTACCAGCCGACTGAGTTTCACGAGCGCCCACAACCGCAGCGTCATCACACACTCCCCCGCCGTCGAAGCAAGTACTTTAAGCGAAGATCAACGGGCACTGTCAGCCCGATGGTGATACCGAGTGGAAGTCCTCGACACGAAGAGGGTCAGTCATTGGCCATTCAGCGCTGGCGGAACTCGCCGCCTGAAGACGAGGCCGCATCTCTGTCGGCCATCTACCATGCCCTGGAGGATAGACCCATAGGCCATTCACCACGTATCAGTCGGCCTTCCAGCGGCGATGCCTTCCGCAAGTATCGCGGCCCTTCCTCTACCACAAGTCTCGATAGCGCCGCAAGCGAATCCTCATTACGATCCGCGAATTCGAGCCGCTCCGCCACGTCGCAATCGAAGCGTCGCAGTCAAGCCAAGACAAGAAGCAAGGGAAGAGTCAGGGGCAACATGCTGGACCCTGATCGTATATTCAAGTGTACCTTCTGCTGCGACACCTTCAAGCACAAGTACGACTGGAAGCGACACGAGATATCGCTGCATCTAAACCTCGAAAGCTGGATGTGCACGCCGCACGGAGCTTCTGTGGTGCTACCTCTTACGGGTAGAGTACACTGCGCCTACTGTAGTGCACTGGATCCAACACCCCAGCATCTGCAGAAACACAATCATGCGGCATGCACGGACGGCAATAACAGCCCGCGTATTTTCCACCGCAAAGATCACCTCACACAGCACCTTCGTCTAGTCCACGGACTGGAAACACTACCTCTCATCGACGACTGGAAACTTGAGACTCTGCCAGTAAAATGTCGCTGTGGTATATGCAACACCAATCTAAGTAGCTGGGATGAGAGAGCAGACCACCTCGCCGCACATTTCAAAGAGGGCAAAACCATGGCCGATTGGAAAGGGGATCACGATTTCGAACCAGCTGTCGCTGCCCGTGTCATCAACGCGTTTCCGCCCTACCTACTTGCCGAACAAGCGAAGACCGTTGTACCCTTCTCTGCCACGAACCCCGGATCCATCGACCATACAAAGCAGATGATATCGCAGATCCAACGGGAAGAGTTTCAACGGGAAGAAGAGCCAGTACAGGAGTCGCCGAAAGAAGTCACTCAGACACCTGACCATCAAGCTTTTGAAGATTCTTTAGAGGCTCTTCGAAACCTTTCTACGCAGCACGACTATGACTTTGCGAAGGTTTTGACGCGCCATCTTAGTCGCTTTGCGAGACAGCAGATGTTGTCGGGTATTATACCGACGGATGAGATGTTTCAACGCGAGTCCCGGAGATTGTTATATCAGGATGCAGATGATGCGGTGAGGAAGCGAAATGACCCGTTATATACCAGACAAATGCTAACGTGTACCCTAGTGGAACCAAACAGTAGCAGACAATCCGAATTGGTTGCAAGACTTTCGCCGTCGTAGTGGGCTCGAAGGAAGTCCTAGTACATGATACCAATGCTACCTTAGCGCGATACCCAACAATCCTTCTACATGTGCTTCAAACTCCTCCTATGCCGTATCGCGATCTTGAAATATTGCGCCCGCTTCTTATCAGATGGTACCACCTTGCAGAGTCACTTGGTCTTTGAGGTAGGACAGATCAACACTGCTCACCTCCCCAGCTTCTTTAAAGAAGCGTAAGGCACGATTACCAGTCCAAATAGGATTCTCATCGCCTGTACCGTCGTTAGCTCTTTTGCTATAGCTGAGATGCTATCCAAGAAAAAGGTCTCACCAATCCAGTGCCCAGCCTTCGGAATCAACTCAGCAACAAGGTCATCGCCGATCTGCGACCATACCTGTTCCAGCAGCGACACAGGCCCAAAGCTCGCCTCACCACCCAACGCCAACAACGGCATCTGCAACCTAAGTTCACTGCCAAACACGGAAGTAAAGTACGCCTCATCATCCCATGCCGCCGCAAAATACTCCATACCGCTTCTCAAGAACCCCGGCTTCGCAATCTCATTCGTATACCGCTGCAGGTGGTCTTCACTCACAGCCGCCGTACCAGAATAACTCGCGTGGAAAAAGTACCAGCTCAACATCTGTTTCTCGCGATCCCGAATGAAGAACTCCGCTGCATCAGGTACCGCAAAGAAGGCGAGCTGCCAGTTTTGATATAAACTAGGACTCTGAACGGTCAAAGGATATCCATATCCTGGGAGAACGTATTCAGCGAGTATGATAGCTTTAACGAAGGAAGGGTGTTCGATAGCGAGAGATGTCGCTAGTCCAACACCTTTGTCGTGCGCGAAGACGTATGTGGATGAGATGTTGAGGTAGTCTAGAATGGCTTTGAGATCTGCGCCCGCGGCTGCAGCGGTGTAGTTCTTCGAAGTGGGGATAGACGAGTCTCCGCATCCGCGGATATCTGGGGCGATTACGGTGTCTACTTTCTCATCAGCATGCGATGCTCTAGTCAGCGAGGATGTGCGAAGACGTGCAGTTCTGCGCCAGAATGGGCCCAATGGTATGCCACGTCAACGAGTGCTGGGGGAAGCCATGCACGAGCAGGACGGGCGGTCCTTCACCGTGGTATCGAAAGTGGATTGAGACGTCGTCAAGCTGGATGCGCTCGTGTTCCCAGTCATCGAAGTCCGATAATTGCGCGAACGCAAACTGTGGTACAGCGAATACAACAACGCTGATGATGGTAGTGAGCTTCATACTGCAGGGTAGACAGATCCGCCGTAGGTTACCAGAACCCCGTCGACATGCGTAGCTTTATCTATCTTCACGTTTCCGCAGTCGCCGATATCTTGAAGACCATGCATTAGGTCTCATACGCCTTCTTGGCTCGAAGCGCTGTTGCTTTACTGCTCTTTCCTATTGCGCTACTCGGTCGTCTTGGCAGGGCACGAGAAAGCTGACTGAGCTTACACAATGCATCGGACTTAAGCATGTAGCTTAGTAAACTCTGTGCATTGCCAAGTCGGGGCGGGTGAATAGTTGGACGATGTGCACAGTCGGAGTAAAGGTTGCTCAGAAAATACGTGCATGAAGTTATGTGCCTACGCAATACGCACCAGATGCGCTCAGCCAAGGCCGCCCACTTGTCCTACCAAAGATAACCTCACGGGATTTGACAGCTCTGTATTGGCCACCGTGAAGCTCATGAGATAGTACATGACTCTTAGTCGAGCCATAAAGAGCATGCGGTCATGAGTGGTCCAATGGGTCAAGCTCAGACCCGGACGCTACTAGCGATGGCCACAAATACCATCGCATTCTGGAACTATGTTTCCGGGGCTAGAAGTCTACATCGTCTCAGAAGCTATCTAATTGTTTGGATATAGTAGTGTGTATTCAGCAAAGTCTTTTTGACCGATACACTCACCCACATCCACTAGTTGAAGATGAACGAGTACACTGACGTTAATTGGTTGTAATCACTTCCAGCATGAAGTCAGCTCCCAACCGCCAACTTCACTACGACGCAAGGCTGACGGAGGGGCTGAAAGCGGTGTGATCAGTTCCTTTAGTTTGTCTGTTGAGTTGTCCTTCATGTAAACTTTGAAGTCTTTGACTTGAAGCAACAACAGAGGGAGCCATGGAATCAAAAGCCCCCACCTCCTCCATCTACTCGCAGTCACCATAAACCCTCCGAATAAAAATCGAGTATCAACAGCTCAGTCATCGTTACTCTTTCGCCCATCACTTCAATTTATCTTTCACCTGACAATGGCACCCACCACTCTAAGACAATCATGGATCCCAAAGCCTCCCGCGCCACGTACACCCGAATGGCAGAACAATCTCGATGTCGAGGCACAAATGCGGCTTCACGTCCTCTCATCTGGAGTATAATGCGTTCGTTGACGCATGCGCGGTGCGACAACGTGAATTGAGACGGCCTACAAACCCATGGCTTGTCTGATCGCCTGGTCAATCTTTTCATCAATCTCCTCCTTGTGTTCAGAGAAATAATCATCGACGAAAGATGCTATTTCTTCTTGCGTATAGCACTTCCCTTCTGGGAAACAATACTACGAAGGTATCAGTATCTTAAACAAAAGGCACCTTTACAAACTAAGACATACCTTTGCAGCTGGGGTAACCTTCACCACCGCCTTGACTTCTGACGCGCGGGTAGCGAGTGCTTCTGAAACAAACCCCAGGATATACACTGCCGCGACAGTGAAGATGAGGAGTTTGATGGTAAGGAAGACGAGGTCCATCTTAATCCGTCTCGTCTCTTCGTCGGACTCTGCCTGAATCCTTGCGAGCTCACCGTCATTCTTCACAGCCTCGAGGTCCAACTCGAATTGCTGCTCTGGTGTTCGCATGCTGGTAGGAAGAACGCGCCATGATAGCTTTGGGGTTGAGAACCTAGTGTAGGCCGGGAGGGTGTCCTTTTCGTTGTCCATGGCTGTGTGTGCTGTGGATGTATTTACTTGGTAAAGTGGGTGATATACGGAAAATCCGAGTAAGAGTTTGGAAGTGGTATGAAGGAAAGGAAAACAAATTGAGAATGCAAGTTATTTTATGAAAGAGGTGCGCAGCTGCGCCTCGTAGAAAACCGTGGTAGACGTTCGCACTAAGCCACAGCCCGTACCTTTTAGATATCTAATCACTGTCATTCGCCCGAGTAGATTCTGGCAGCCTAATAGTAAATCTGGCTCAAATTCATGGGGCCTACAAAACCAAAGTTCTATGGTCGTGTCACGACGAACTGCTGGCCGCGAGACACACTACGACTTATTCCAAAAATCCTACCCAGGCAGCCACATACTTAGTATATCTTGGAGCTTCTTAGTCATCGTCGCTATGTTCCAGGTCCGCAGCAATGTAAGGAATTTCGGCGCCCTCATCCACCTGCGACTCCGAGACGTCTACGACCTCCTCCCTCATGGACTCTTCAGACCTGCGATGGCGCTTCAGTTGCACTTGGGCACGCGCGTCCAAGCCAACATACTCTTGAAGTGGGTTTGACTCAACAGTATTGGCCATGTGGTAACTATAGTACTGTTAGTTTGAGACTTCGAGAAAGGGACGTGGTTACCGTACATGAAGCCATGACCCTCCATAGGGTGGAAGTCTTTGACGATGGTGCATCCCGCAGTTGCCGCGACTAGGGCCCTGAGCTCTGCTGCTTTCGCGCTGTTCCCAGGACCATCTGAGAGCAGAGCCCTGAGTCCAGTCGCGTTTTCGCCGTCTGGAGGGCTAGCTCTTCCTCGGACGATGACCTATCATGGTTAGTACTCGGTATGGCTTTTAGGTGTAACATGTATCCTTACTGTCCAGAGATAGTGGTCTTTTGGTACCGCGGGCATGATGTTGTAGTTGGTATTGGGATACTTGGCGTCGGGAGCGGCTGAGTTGAGGTAATTGTTTGTGATGGCGATTGAATCTGCTGTTGGGTAGTAGAGTTGAGAAGTCAAGATTACTTGGGTAAATTGATATCTTATATCTGGCCGTTTGCGAAGATGCGGAGCCCGACGTAGGCAGCGAGTATCCTACCTGCCTTTACCTTGCGCTTTGCGGTGTGACCCCGGATGAATCTTTGTTAGCATAGAGGGACACAAACGAGGGTGATGCGATTATGACATGTGTCATTCGACAGGCGTGTCTCATTGTCTGCTCCATGGCTCGTCCTGTGTAGCTCAATTGAACCATCTCAAAACAAAATCCCCCCGTGGTGACTGCATAAGAGCTTTTGCAGTCGTGGATAGAGCTTGTCGCCCCTTGTAGCTGCCAGGGTGACCGTTCGGGGTGCTCGCGTCATGAGCACTGAAGGCAGCGCTGACCTTAGCCATACCGAGCTATACTACGCACTCAAGGTGCCAAGGCAAGCGACAAGTCATGTAGTTTGCGAAGTCGGCGATGCAAATGGTGATGGAAAAGAAAAGGGTGTGTCGCTTGCAGTTGCCGTGCAATAAGCCGTTCAGCTACCCCGGATTCGTTGCGCCAACTATGACGCTTCGGTCGATCTTCACCCCGCATGTCGATTTATCCTCCAACACGAGCGCTACTAGCCCGTGTCGCATGCACACCGTTGCATCAGCATATTACTACGACTAACTGCCATCCCAATTGACGAATCGCGTGCGAATCTCCGTCGTCGTGAGATGCTGATCTTTACAGCGGGCCGACATTCCTGCACGGTTGTCGGCAACCGCCCTCGGCTATATGGTATGGGTGTGCGCTGGTGTATGTCTTCGTCGCATGACGGTCGTTAAATGATGTACATGGCGCGAGCTACCCCGGTCGATGCTTGGGAGTACGGGCAAGCTTCATATAAGTGGAAGCTTGGGGCCCCGCAGTGTTGCTTGTCGTCTCTTGTCGCTGCGCCTTCACATTGATCACATTTCAGGTAGACGCCATCGCATTGCCTACATCGAATCGATAATCGCATGGTTCGCTCGACGCGCACGACAATGGCCGACGACCGAAAACCTTCGATCGAGCATATCTCGGATGACAAAATCGCGCCTACTACTCTGGAAGCAGGAAATGGGGTCGTCGATGGGCATCGCAAGCTGGTCCCACCGCCGTTGGTGGCTGCTATGAGTGCCGAGGAAAGGATTGAAGCAGAGAAGAGGATGCGACGGAAGATCGATACGAGATTGTTGCCGATGATCATCCTGATGTACATCATGAGTATGTCTTGGTAGATGGCCGCGGGTGGGCAGCGCTAATAATGCCCAGATTACCTCGATAGGAACAATATCGCTGCCGTTCGCCTAGCAGGTCTTCAAGACGAGCTGGAACTCACGAGTGTGCAGTATCAAGTATGTGATTGCTGAAATCACCAGCAAGTTTCTCACTAACTTGACTAGACAACCGTCTCCATTTTGTTCGTCGGCTATATCCTGATGCAGATCCCATCGAATTTATTTCTCAACAAGACAGGAAAACCAGCCATTTACCTCCCGACGTGCATGATCATTTGGGGTATCATATCGGGCGCTACCGCGGCATGCCAGAACTTCGCTGGACTGGTGGTGTGTCGTTTCTTCCTTGGATTCATCGAGGCCGCGTACTTCCCAGGATGTCTGTTCTACCTCAGCGCTTGGTATACGAGGAAGGAGCTGGGTCTGAGAACGGCGGTTCTTTACTCTGGAAGTTTGATCTCGGGTGCCTTCGGTGGGCTCATCACCGCGGGGATCACGAGTAATATGGATGGCACGCAGGGCTTGAGAGCGTGGCGTTGGGTGTTCATAATCGAGGTAAGTATCGCACGCGCCGAGCCGGGTGTCTGGAATGTTAGCTGACTCTTCAGGGTATCATTACCGTCGCGATTGCCTTCGGCGCCTTCTGGATCCTACCCAACTTCCCTCGAACAACTTCCTGGCTCACAGAGGAAGAACGCCAACTCGCCGTCTACAGGCTCCAGGAAGACGTTGGCGAAGACGACTGGGTCTCGGCAGAGTCGCAAACTTTCTTCCACGGCCTAAAGCTTGCGTTACTCGATATCAAGACTTGGGTGCTTACCATCATGCTTCTAGCGAACGTATCCTCGGCCAGTGTTACCAACTTCTTTCCAACAGTGGTCAAGACACTAGGATACCCAAACATCGAGACACTTCTGTTAACAGCGCCACCTTATGTTCTCGCAGTCATCACCACCTACCTCAACGCCTGGCATGCCGACCGCACCGGCGAACGATTTTTCCACATCGTCCTCCCTCTCTGCGTCGGCGTAGCAGCCTTCATCCTTGCCGCCGCTACGACTGCAACAGCACCTCGCTACGTCGCCATGATGCTGATGGTACCTGGTGTATACACTGGATATGTCGTAGCTCTTGCCTGGATCTCCAACTCTTTGCCTCGTCCGCCAGCGAAGAGGGCGGCTGCACTGGCTTTCATCAACGCGATCAGTAATACGAGCTCGATTTATGCAAGCTACATGTATCCTCAGCCAAAGAGTGGTCCGGCAGATTTGACGGTTCCCCTGAGTGTGGATTGCGCAACTGCAGCACTGGCCATTATCATGGCGGTCATTATGCGCATTATACTGGGGCGGCTGAACAAGAAACTTGCTCGTGGAGAACACGTTGAAGGCGCAATCAACGCTGTCCCTGGGGTTGGTGCCGAGAGAGGTTTCAGATTCTTGATCTAGAGACTTGGAAACTGGAGATTGTAGGGTATTGAGTTGGATATAGAGACGATTAGCAGGATTGTGCACCGATTGGTCCCCCTGTTTTACTTCTTTGCCACCTCCTTCTCGCGTCGCCTCACCGGATGACGACGCGTACAGCCGCTGAGACAACAGTTCCCCTCTTCAAATTGCTTTTCCTCAGTGTCTCAATCAGGACTACTCGTGATACATGTGTGAAGGCTGGTGAGTGGCTGGATGCTGACTTGGCGAGATACTGGAAGGTTCCATATCGTCATCGGCCCGAACAAGGCTTAGCGTCTATCGCGAGCTTTGGCCACCCAGGCAGCGCGTCGCGCGACGACTCACCACGTTTTATCGCAGCCCATCCCAGCAGCACATCATCCGTCGAGGATTCAGCAGCACATTCGTACGACACATCACTATCGGCCCGCTTCACCAGAGTTGCCAATACACCTTTCACTGCCGGGGACCATAGAGTGAACGCCTTGCGATAGCTAGCGTCACACTCTGTTAGCGCTCTGTGCACACACGATGCACCTCCACGCGACCACAGGAACAGCGCCGATTATTCAACGCAGACCTTGATCACTTTCGCGTCGGGAATCGCACAACATCAATCACTTCGATACTGTGTCACTTTCGAAGAACCAATCACCACCATCACTCAAGGCAACCACGCGTTGTCAGCTGACGCCACCTGCATATCTTCTGCAAACTTCAAAAGTTCAACTTGGAGATCAACCTCATTATGGATTTTTCAAACAGTGCCTTTAGGGCCATGCCAAACTCTAAAGTCTCCGACGACACCATGTCTCACGCAAATCTTGTAATGGCATGTCGATGGGGGTGGACGAGCACCCCGGACGAAGGAGCAAACAACCCCTTCGCCTCTTCATCTACCTCGCAACAAATACCCGCCTCTACGTTTAATAACATTCGGACCAAGCGTTTTGCGCCGTGCCAAGGTCGTCTCTATCACCAGCTACTCTGCTCTCACCGTATCCGGACGGACCTTGTCGAAGACTGTGGCGAAAACTGCATCGATCCGTTTGGCGACACGGTTGACGCTGCCTTCGTTTGCAATGAGTGCATTCAAGCCGAAGCAGCGAAGATTTGGGAGCAACGGCAAGCGGCCCACAACGCGACCTACCCTCCTATGGGGCAGATGAGCAAGGAGCAGTACGAGCAGTGGTATGCCGAGCACCGACAGCTCGAAGCAGAGTTCTCGCGCGACCAGCGAGTGTACGAGTTGGAAATCAAAGCTAAGACGCGACCGAGCAACATTTGCTCTGCGCTGGAAGCTAGCAAAGAGGAGATGGACTTTGCGACCGAGCTTGACACATTATCTCTTTCCTTGATGGCGTCAAATAACTCAAACGCCGAGCAAGCGCCATACCAGCCGCAAGGACGTACCCGTACGAGCTTGGCGACAGATCCTGATGAGCAGCTCCATTGGAACTTGAACACGCTTGCTTTGGATCGCGGCGCATGTGGTATTGAGTACTCGCAGCCGAGTAGTGGAGTGTCTCCGACACGGCAACTGGACCCCGAGGAGTTGTGGAGGAAGCCACGGAATTGAGAGCTTGCAAAGCAGTGTTGTTGGCGTATAACTTGTCGTGTTGATTAGCGATTGCATAAGTTTGGCGTATGGAAAACTCCGCGCATGTGGAAGCGTTTGTGTAGGACTTTCGTGTAAGCAATAAATGTCTTGTCTAGCAACTCTGCTATCTGAATGGACCATCTGTACCGCGTTTTCCAGTGGTGTGCATGAAGTTGCGGAGCGACACGAAGATTGTGGTTCGATGTGGGGCGTAGTGATGTGTCAAAGCATTAGCACGACGCACACTGCCCCTCATGCGAAGATAGCACATATTATATGGGACGACCGCTTGGCTTTTCATTGATGGGGCGTTCTAGGTCAAAAAGATCGGCTTCCAAGACTGCTGCAGCATTTGTTTTGCTAAGATTATATTTGTTGTATTTGGAAAAATTTGTATCGAAATCTATTCGGAGCCTTGGCGCAATGGTAGCGCGTTGGTTTTCGGTCAGAAAGCATAAACACCAAAGGTACACTTCACCAATCACGTCTCGTTCCAACACCATCTAACAGTTAATCAGGTTGTGGGTTCGATCCCCATGGGCTTCGTCTTCTTTTTGCCCGTTCTATGAAGTAGTGCATTGTAGCGGTGGGTGCATGAAGTTTAGAACAAG